GATACAAAGCACCCCAAGCTCTACTCCCAGGGAGGCATCTCAGCAGTGTTTCTGAATTGAAGTAGTTGAAAAAAAACTTCATCAACAAAGATGATCTCCTGGTACAACGCTGAGGGAAATTTCTCACACTAATAAACCTGATACCAAAGAAGAGAGCTGTATGTAACAATGCATTCTTTCTTCCTCATAGCAAACAGTGAATATATGAACACAATAAGGAGTTTAGAGAAGAATAATAAGAGGTTACTAAAAGCATACATGTTATATGTTGGTCAGACCAGATGTAATTTGTTGCTTCTCACACGGTTTACTCCATCTTGCATCATTTTGCTCAGAAGAGTGGCCCTGCTGAAATCATTAAGAGTATCTGCAGGAAAAGATGTAATTTTTTAATCCAGTGTCTGTTTCCTTTCTAAAAGCAAGCTAACTTTCAGCTGGACTTGCAAGTGTGCTTTTGGTAGCGTATTCTCTGATGGAGAAGGTGTTTTAGGAGACTCCCAGCACTCGTGCCTGGGTGCTGCATCTCCCTGCAGTTGGTTCTGGATCTGTGCTGTAAACTGGACTACAGAAACTGCCTCAGCAAAACACAAGGCCAGGGGGTTGGTTTTTGTTGGGTTTTTTTTAGAAAACAACAACAACAAAACCTGAATCACATCACTGATCTGACTTGATGGAGAGCTGTACCAGCAATAAAATTAGCAGACTGAGGAGGAGCAAGGTGGTGGTAGACAGAGTCCTCTTCAAGTGATGGGGTGCACACTTCGTAGCAGCAGCAGATTACAGCATCCTCTGAATGTTTGCAGCTGCTCCGTGGCCAGATAATCAGATAAAATTATCATTTCTTTTCCCTTGTCCCAGCAAAGCAGCAGTAGGTCATACATGTAGTGATGGGAACACTGAATCTCCTAATCCAGGTGCCATTGCGGTGTGTTGGCTGGCCTGTCTGAGGAAAAAGGAGAGCTGGTGTTTTGACTTGCAGCTTTTGTTTCCCTTCTCATGCTTACATACTTCTCTAGTTATTGCTAGAAGAGATTTAGAAATGTTGTTGCCTTGGCAAACATGGTGGGGCTTAAACATCACCTCAGTGAGTTCCTGGTAGAGAGTGAACCAAGTGGCTTGGTGACTCTGAATGATCTTCTTTCACCCAAAAGGCAGCTCAGAAGTGAAAAGCCAGTTCAGGATGAAGAAATATGCCTTTGGTTGAATTTTTTGAAGCCACTGAACATGCGGCTGGTGTTCAGCCACACAGGTATCCCCCTCTGCACCAGGTGCCCTGGGCTTCCCTGGCATTAGATGGCTGACTCATTGATGAAGAGCCGTTCAGCCCAACAACCGTGGTTGTTCACCATTAACTGTAATGAGATGTAAATAAACATTAGATCACCATTAACTGTAATGAGGTCTAGATCCCCCAGTTCAAATCAAGGCACCTGTGTGTAAGTGCTGGCGTTCTGGACTTAAATCCTGTGGCTCATGCTTTATATCAATATAAAAGCTTATATTTTAAATGTCAGTTTTATTCTAAAGTTTTCTAAAGGTTGAAAAAGAAAATTCATGTAGCAACTTCAAACCAGAACAGTCAGAATATATAAAAATACAGTCATAAAAAGCACTAGTTTCATGCTCAGCTAAGACAAGCATCTCAGACTTTTCCAGTGAGAAGTTTTATGTTGGACGATGTCTCCCTGCCTGCCGAAGTGGTCTTCCCCTTTGGCAAATCTCTTGTCTACACGCCTTATTTTAGGCATTTCAGTATCATGATGTAGCATCCCTGAGTTCTGCCTATGCTCGTGCTTTAGTGCTTTCCTCTGTTGCAAACGTGGTGCCATTTTCCTGCTTTAATGACAAGAAAAGGTACTGCATGAGTGTCCAGTCTGCTCTGTGATCTGCCCAGTAAGACTGGACCCGAGATCAGGTCATTTTACGTGGCAACTCTGCATTTTTGGCCATAGCCACTGCAGGAGAGATTTAAACTGCTGAATTAGTGATGTGATGGGAGAGTTGTCTTCTGTTAGCACTTTCTTAAGCCATCAGATGCTCCTCAATGAGGACTGTGCCACAGCCAGGGTCTGTGTCCGCTCTACTGCAGCGTGGAAATGTTCATTTCTGTGTTAGAAACTGCATCTGAGCCTTGGCAGGTTTGTGTTTGTAAGCTAGATTTAAGTTGCTTTAGAGACTTAACTCTTTTCTGATACTGTTTTTAATGTGAAGAAAAAAATCCTTTGTTTGATTGTTTCACTGGAAAGGCACATAATTAAGTTTTCTGTAAGAAATTTTGCTTTTTCTGCTCTGCACCTCGCAGTTTGTAGTGAAATACAGAATTTGGCCCATTAACTTCCAAAGAAGTTGTTGTTTCAGTAGATGTTAGTACTGGACGGACAGCATTTGTTGGCGTGCATTCTGACAGTTTGTGCTTGTGAACTGGAAGGACAAACCAGTTTTACCATTTCAGGAGGCAATGCCTGTGGCCTTTCGAAAACTGATGCGTGGTTTCATGTAGCTTCTTCTCAGTTTATATCTATAAAGGGTTTTTTTTTTAGTGCATGTGCTAGTGGAAGTGAGAAATTACTGTTTGACAGAAAGAAGTGCAGTGTAAAAAGGACAGTAAGAAAGTCTCTGCGCTGTCCTTCCTTTTGACTCTCTTGTAATCTGCAGAACTTAGAGTTTCATCTTTACCTCTGCATTACTAGTTTCTACAGATAACTATATGATCTTTTATTATAACAATTGAAATTGAAATTTAAAGCTAGTTTTATAAACCTAACCACCACCCAACTCTGCCTAATCAGCATGAAGAGCCTGAGGCTTTGGTTTGTGTGGATGGTTTCTGCAGACCTTGTCGTCGCAGCCATCCAGCCGCTCTGAATCCAGCACTCATGAGCACACAGTGGTCACCGTGACACCCCAGGGAAACACACAGGCATGTAGCTTTTCTGATACCAGTTCACACGGTTCACCTTGCAGAAGCTTGTTCAAGTGTCCGCACTCCTCCTCCTTCTCTTTTAATCAGAAGTAGTTTAGCAAGACAAACTTCAGCTTTCATTTTCTGTGCCGGAGGAGGTCAGCAAGCGTAGGAGGAAGCAGGAAAACACAGGCTCTGGAAGTACTGAAGATTGAAGCAAGGAAAAGAGACTGGCAAAGGTTTTATTTAGGGAGCTAGGATTTGCCAGAGGAATGCTTTAGCCTTTTTGGAAATGTCCATCCTGTTACTCAAGTCCTGTTCATGGAAAGTAAAATGTGCTGTGCCTGACTGAAGAAAGCTCAGTCTGAGTGTCTGCAAGTTTCAGACACACTTGTAAGACCTCAGTTTGCAATGTTTAGTCTTGAATTCTTTCCAGATGTTTCTTCCATAATATTATCTGTGTCTCTAGTGGTCCATATGCTTCTCTAGGCTTGATGTAGGTAGTACTGCAAATAACAAGAAAATACTGTTGTGATTCATTTGGCACTTGAAACATCTCTGTGCTTACAAAATTCTAGTCATGGTAAGGTCCTTAGAAAGGCATCTTGACCCTGGGAAGCAATAATTTTCACTTGATATCTTTACTCTGACGTTTGGTTGCTGATTGTATTTTCAGTGCCTTATTCAATGTAAAATATACCTTATTTTTTATTAGCACGGTATTTTTACTCATTCATTAGGGCCAGCTTTTTTAACGACAGGTGAGTAAGCTAATGCACATTGCCTCTGTTTCCATCCTCAGTGAAGATATGCAAAGAAGTTGTTTCCTTGGATCGCAATTTTTGTTTTCCCCCCCTTTTTTTTAAGCATTTTTTAAGTCTTGCAGCCAACAAGTGTAGTCCAGGTTTCGCAGTAGTGAAGCAGTTGTGGTAGATAGTTTCTAGCCTGATGTGTAGCCACACCGTCCCAGCACAAGCTGCAAGAAACACTGTTAGCAACATCCGAGTTGCCTGTTTTCCTAGGGGAACCTTGCAACCCGGTTTAGGATGGACCTTTTAATAAGGGCAATCATTCTGTATGAGCACGAGAGCTTCCGTTGTGCTCCTCTGTTTTGTTCAAGCACCAAAAGAAACTCCCCTGCTCCTTCTGTCTGGGTGTTGCAGTTGTACTTGAGTATGCTATTTTAATAGTGCCTCGGAGACAAGGACAGTGAAAATACTCTGCAGGAGACCTTGAGGTTTTAAAAAGTACTTTGTATGACTGTTCCATACAGATTGAGAGCCAAAACTTGATCAAATTAATACAACTACAAAAAAACCCCCAGACCTTCAGTATATAGCTCCCGTGCATGCTACATCCCTGCCACTGGCCTCGATCCAGCATCGGTCACAGTGCAGTGACCTGCAGGTCCAGTGTAGGTGCAGACAGGGGTTTCTGGTTGGGGTCTGTGAAGCAGATGAAGTGAGCAATATGCACTGTTTGCATGTTTTCAGATTCAGTTTTCTCCCTGCCCGTGGATATTGCAAGCAACTGCTTATGTCCTTTCTGGCAGCAGGATGTGGACAGTTTGGTTAGGGTGTCAAGGACAAGCTTCCCCTTTATGGTGAGGAGGTGCTGAGGTCTTGCAAGCACAATCCCTTTTGAGTTCTGGGAAGGATGGTTTGCCCACTGCCAGGTGTCTTCTGGAGGCATCAGCTACTGTTTTTGACTGAGGATCTCGCAGTTTGGCTTTCTCTGATTGAATGATCCTGTCCATCTCTGTCATTAGGCTGCTGGAAAATGCATCACCAGACATGTTAGTGGGGAAGTCAAGTTGTAGAGTCTGCTCCTGAAGCGGATGCTGACAGTAGACCTTTTGCCATAGGTCATCTTACTCAGGGTTTTGTTGAGCATCCCATAAGCTGATCTCTGAAATTCTGGCAGGTGTCACAGCTGTTAGGTGTCACTAACTACCGTTAGTCATGTGCTGGTCAAGAGGAAGGGTTGAAAGTCTGGTCCATTGTGATTGACTGCTATTATGTCTGGCAGATGTTACTTGTTCCACTAAAAAGAAAGTATTTTTTTTGTTTTTTTTGTTTTGTTTTTCCCTCCCTCTTAGGTGGAACGTATTGGGTATTCAAGGAGCCTTACTTAGCCTCTTTGTGGAGCCAATTTACTTCTCTAGCATCATCTTGGGGAGTTTATATCATGGGGATCATCTATCCAGAGCCGTATACCAGAGGATAGCAGAGATAGAAGATCTACCACCTCTTTATACACTCAACAGACCTTTACTTAGTGGCAAGTATCTAATGGAGAAGGCCGTGCCGGTAACTAAGTCTGTTCCAGTAGCAATGTGATTTTGCAGTTCTCAAAACCTTGCAAATTATGTACTGTGAGTAAACTGCTTTCTGGTTACAACAGAGGAGTTATGGTCTAACCCTGTTATAGATACTCGGTCAGAAATATCATAGGAAGGACCCTTTGTGAGTTAAAAGGTGGAAAGAAGTGGGCTATGAACCTTTGGATGCTATTTTAACTTAATTGCTGTTTGGAGCATGCCCTAGCAAGTGAGGCAAGGTGAAGGTTTAGTGCAACCTCTTCCCACCCATGAAATAGTGTCTTAGCTCTCACTGTCACTTCTCTTGCCATTGCAGATATTTGTTGAACGGCCACCTCATTGATCAGTATGCCAAGATTTGGTTCACAATTTCCAGATCAATAACCAACTAAAAATGGATGGAGAGAAGAGCTGAGCTGCCACTGGTTGTGTTTCATTTTTATCACCAATCTCTGTTGGATGCAGCATTAGCTTTAATTAGCATGGCACCCAAATTGTTTATGTGACCCAATAATCATAGTATTTTAATTTTCACTTTGTAGGTTAGTGCACAAATGCTGTGTTCAGAGCCCAGTGGCACATTCTTTGGGAATATTTTTAATAGAGTATTCAAAATACCTGACAGACAGCAATATGGCAAGCCCCAGCCGGGGTAGTTAGCAGTTGTCTTCTGCAGCTCCTCTTGAACATTTAAGTACCGGTCTTTGGCTTTGTGCTGATCCTAGCTAGGCTCTACTGGGGCTCAGAGGAATGGCAGGAATTGAATTAACAGACTGTAACTTCTAATTGAGCTGTGGCTTTCCAAGGAAAGTTCTGAAGTGTCTTAAATTCGCAAACTGCTAGTTGACAGTAACGCTGTGAAAGCTTTAAATCAGAAATCTCCCATCCTCCCTCTCACGGCGTGCGTTGCTGTGTTCTGTAGAGCTTGGCTTTTGGCATGTGGCTGTTTATTTTCGAGGGGGAAAAAAAAAAAAAAGCTCAGCATTTTAAAGAACGTGTAAAGTTTGACATGAATTTTTAAAATAGATTTAAGGAGGGAAGGGAGAAAAGAGCATATTGAACAACACAGCATTTCTTTAGATAAGAAAGATAATTCATCAGGATTCCCCGAACTAGGACATATTCAAAAGTTAAGCAATGGATTTGTTTTTATATTAACAAGTAACAGTTGCAACACTCACAGTACCATATATTGAATCGTTGCATGGGCATAGTAGCTGATGTATGGATTATTTCTACCTCATTTGGGGAATTTTTATCAATTCTTCAAGACAGCAGGTTTGAGGTGGAGTGGGAGGAGTTTTTATTATCCTTTTCAAAGCGCATAATAGTACCTTGTCTTCTTAAAAAGCATCTCTCTGCGATACTGGTGCCATCTATTTGCCATGAAATAGCACCATCTGTTTGAAGAGTTCCTCTGGGACTCGCTGAGCAGAAGAGAGAGTTCAGAAACGTTCTCAGCTGTTGAGTTTTCATGAAAAGACACATCTCAAAAATGTACGGGAAGCTGGTTTGGGAGGGTGGGTGGAGAATTGTGTTGATGGATTTTCTTCTGCTGGTTCAGTCTTGAAAGCTACTCTTCTAACCCATGCTCTTGGCTTCACCTGGGGTGTTTGTGTCACCATCCATCTGCTCTTCTGCTTCACACATTTTACATCATATTTGTACCTGGAATAAGCACTGCAGAAATACCCGTCCCCAAATCTTATGTTCTTCATGGTATCAAACAAACAACTGTGTGATGGTGACTCATTTCTACCAGAGGTGACTCTGATATAAATTAATTTCTCATTTATACCAGATAATGACTCATTTCTACTCATTTCTCAACTAAAAGAGGAATAGCTGTGTTTCCCCACTGTCTCACCTGTTTAGCTGAGAAAATACTGTAAAAACTGGGGGGTTTTTTCCTATTATAAAACAAGTTTTCTGTGTGCAGGGACAATTGCATTAAGTCAGACAGAGTTATTATTATCTACTGCTAAAATTTGTCTTTTCGTTCATCTTTCTTTCCTCATAGGAGATTTTCTACTTCTACTTCCTTTTCCCAGCAAGTGAAATGTGAACGTGCATATCAGAGTAGCTGCTTTTCAGCTAGGGAATGTGGGAAACCCGAATGTCGGTAGAAAACTCCCTCTCCCTGCTGACTCTGGGAAGCCTTTTGGTTGCAGGACCCAGCTTTTTGGCAAGCCTTTAGCACCGCAGCACTGAGGGCATGTGAGGTCTCACAGAGAATTGGCCAGCTCACTGGAAGAGAAGACAGGTTCGAATCTTGCGAATTTCTAGAATAATCTGAAAGGAGAATGATTTCTCAATCAAATAGAATGAGGAGGGTTGTATAAATCAGCCAATAACAAAGTGCCAATCTGCACAGACTCTTTTTGGAGACACTGTGGGAGGCAGGCACGAAGGAGTTCACCTGGCGTGGAAGTAGGGTGGCAGAGCTCAGCAGATACTCCACTCAGAGAATCAGCCCTGGAAAATCCTTGAGAGCAGAAGTCACTAAATATAAGAGAACCCATTACATATAGAAGACAAGCTCTTCTTCACTGGAGGCAGCTGGTATGAACCAGATTTCATCAGGCATCTGACCTGATGGTTCCTGCTGCTGGTAGGTGTGCTCAGATGCCCCAAGCCCAAGGGCCTGGGTTAACGGCATCCGCTGGGGCTATGACCACGGAGCAGACGGCAGGCTGAGCCCTGATGCGCTCTCATGTCTGTGGTAGCTACTCAACCAAACCCTGAACTGTACTATAATGTTTGCTTTTGTGGACAGTGCCTTTTTTTTGGCTGTGATTATAATATTAATAGGGGCAAAGTTTTCCCTGGTTTGATGTCTGGTCAGTTGATATTTTCTTTTACTTTAGTTTCTCTAGAGCTTCCTCTTTCACAAGAGTATTGTCAGAAACTACGTTGTTGGCGGTTTTGACCTGTTCCTCGTGGTGCTGCTGACAGGTATTTCCTATTTCAGTTCTTGGATGAAACATCCTGGAGCAGTGTCACATCTAATGATTATCCTGTCACCAGTGTAAGAACTGTCTTAGGTAAGAACAAGATCTTAAGGTTCGATCCAACCAGCCCAGTACTCTTGCCCACAGTGAGGTGGTTTCGGCTGCAGCTAAGACCACACAGTCCTTCACTCACTGCCAGCCACCTGGGGAGAAGGAGAGAGAAACACAATGAAGGGATTGTGGGTCAAAATGAGGACAGGGAGGGCTCAGTCACCAGTGATGGTCAAGGGGAAAACAACTCAAGTTGGGGAAGAAAAATCCATTTAATTAGTTCCCAATCAATCAGAGTAGGACAGTGAGACACAACAACCACATCTGACAGCACCTTCCCCCGCCCCTCCCTTCTTCCCGGGCTCCCATCACTGTGCTCCCCATTTCTCTCCCTTCTCCCCCAGGGCACAGGGACAGGGAATGGGGGTTCAGTCAGTTGGTCTCTGCTGCTTTTCCCGGCATGAGATCCCTCCCGTGGGGTAAAAGAGTCCAGGAACAAAGTGTTCCAACGTGGCTGCCCATGGAGTCATGGACCTCTTTGGGCTCAGCTCCTGGATCTGGCATGGGGACGTCCATGGGCTGGAGATGGGTCTCCGGTCCAGCACATCTCTTCCCCCTGGCTCTGGGGCCTTCTTGCTCCTCATGAGCTCTCAAAGTCACACCTGCCCTCAGGCTCAGCTTTCTGCTGCAGTGTGGAGTCCTCCATGGCCTACACATGGGTATCTGCTCTGCTGTTGAATCTTCAGGGGCTGTAGGGGACCTCATTGACCATCTCCTGCTCTTCTTCATGCTGATCTGGGTGTCTGAGGTTCTCACTCTCCCCTCTTTCCCCTCTTCCTCCTTCCTCTTTTTGTTCAGGACAATAGTCTCTCCTGATGATTCTCTCTCGTTCCTTTTCAGACCTCTTCTTCCCCTCATAAATACGGATTCACAGAGTCATTTCCCTGTCACTGACTGGCTCAGCCTGGGCTGGAGACAGGTCTGCCTTGGAGCCAGGGGAGCTTCTCAAAGCTTCTCACAGAGTTCATCACTGCAGCTCCTTCCCCTGCTACCAAAAATCACCCACACAAACCCAATACACACAGGTAGTTAGGCAGTGAAAAGCAGAAGAAAATAGTAAGCCTCTGGCAGATACATCCTAAGAATTGCAGCAGTGATCTGTGGATCAGGAACATCCTGATGATGATCTCAAAGGTCTAGTCAATGATCTCAAAGGTCTTTTCCAACCAAACGATTCTATGATCCCAAGTCAGGGATTGAGTGTCTTTGTGTTTAGAAATCCTTAACAGGTCTTCCATTCATGAACTCCTGCTTTTGTTTTTTGAACTGGTTTAAACATTTTACCATCTGCAGCCTCCTTTAGTTAGGAGGACTGTAGGACATGTAAAGATCTGTGCAATGGAATAAATTCTGAGTGATATTCTCTAAATAGCTTAATTATATCAATTTTCAAAGGAGAATAAAATATTTTACTTTCTAGCCCGGCTTTCTCTCCCATTTCTGTTTTTAGCCTATTGTGCTATGTTCATGTCTGGATTTTGAGGAGGAAGTTATGGTCCACCTAAAGTGTTATCAGACACTTTGCTTTTGAGATAACCTTTACTCCCTGTCCATGCTACCCATGATCCACCTTCAGGGACTCCTTTGTCATCTCTCCAGGGTTGATGCAGATAATGAAGCAGTTGAAGAGGGTGTTGTTATTTAAGTCCATTTGAAATTCTGAGTCTGTTTTGGGTTATTTATTTATTTATTTATTTATTTAATTCCTCAAAATAACCTAAGGAATGCAGTTGTATAATTGCCATGGGAACGTAGTGCATCGTGGATGTTCAGCTTCCTCATCTTTATTCGATTTGCTTATGTGGTTGCTTGTGATGTCATGGGTGTTTGAGTAGCTGAGAGGACAGGAGCAGGCACCTGGCTTGTGCAGGTGCTTGTGACATCATCACAGGTGTTTGACCAGCTGGTAGGGCAGGAGCAGGCTCAAGGAGCAAATGGTGTTTTGCAGTACTCGATGAATTAGATCTGATTGTGGTGCTTGTTCAGTGGTGAATGGAATGAAAGCAAAGGTAATAGTATAGATATCATTAAATTAAAGAAAAAAATACGACTGACCTGCTTGTTGTGTGGTAGCAATTTCTCATCCCTCTTGCCTCAGTAGTTTCAGTAAAAACAATTTTTAATTAAGAGATTTTTCAGCATGGGTCTGTTTCACATAAGCTTCACAAAAGCAGCCTGAATTTGTATGCTTTTGGAGACTCGAGAGTTCATACTTGTTTTGTGTGCACCCCAAATTTATGATTTATTAGATGTGCAAGCCCAAAATTTCATATTTATTAGGTGTTTAGGTGCAAGCTTCATGTTGTGTGACTCATGGAATGGCAGCATTTCCACTTCAGTGGCACAGGGCAAGTTGTGTTGTGCCTGATCAGCTCCAGTTTTCATGAGGTGTGACGTGCATGTTCGTTGCTAGCTGTTCAGAAGGACTGCAGAAGTTGGGATGATGATTTTCTGACATTCATCCTAAAGCCCTGTTCTTATAGAATCATAGAATGGTTTGGGTGGGAAGGGACCTTAAAGCTCATCCAGTTCCAACCCCCCTGCCAGCAGCAGGGACACCTTCCACTAGACCAGGTTGCTCAAAGCCTCATCCAACCTGGCCGAGAACACTTCCAGGGAGGGGGCATCCACAACTTCCTTGGGCAACCTGTTCCAGTGTCTGACCACCCTCACAGTGAAGAACTTCTTCCTTCTGGCTGGGTCTTTGTCAAGTATTGCAAACATGGTGTTCTTGATGGTACCTGCTGAGCAGGGACCACTGTCCACCCTCCCAGCTTGGTCAGTGTGTGGATCCCACATCCCCACTCACTGATTTACAGATCAGTGGGTGTAGATCCGTGGCATCCTGCTGTATTTTATCTCTTGGATGCACCTCTCCTAAAAGAAATCAGAAGAGAGCTCTTCAGGAAACTTTTGTTCCGATTCTCAATTTTTTCAGCTTATATTTTAAGAAAATGGGGAAGGGTAGTGTTATTTTTTATTATTTACTTATTCACTTAATTACTGGTTATCTGTCACAGTGACCAGGTTGATGTAAACCGAGTGTAAAAATAAAACAACTGCTGGAAGTTCAATGCGATTGATATTTCAAAATGTTTATTTATTAAATGAGGAATTGATTCTAGTAAGCAAACTGAATTTCACTGAATTGTTCAGAATTCGTAGGTCTCACGTGCTTGGGTGCCTGAGATTGGCTTAACTTTGTTTATTAGTTCATGTTTCAAATATCATCAAGAAGCGCCTCCTGCTGCAATGCTTCTGTTCAATTCACCTAGCATAACCTCGGAGAAGATTTGAAATAGGTTCTCAGTGAGAGTTGTGTTAAAGTAAAAATGGGATCTTTAGTTATTAGAAAGAAAAAAATTGCTGGAAGTCGAGAAGTTTCTTTATTCTCTCCTGGAGAGACAACTGAGATATTGTAAAGGTAGAACTTTGCCGCCCCTGTAATGTCTGTGGGACCAAACCCAACGTGCTCCTCAGCTTTTCCATAGCACGTGTGACCCAAGCGCCTGGTCCTGGCTGCTGCTTGCGGGTGCGGGAGAGGGAGGAGCTGCCCGTGGGTGGCAGTGGCTGCCGTGACCTTCGAGCGTGGTCCTGCAGCCTTTACATACATACAGTGCATCTCTGCAGCGTCAGGGTGCTGTGGGGGAATGAATCCTGCCGTAGGCAGCCAGCCCTGCTTCACACTGGGGTTAGACTTCTGCTGGCTCTGCTTCTCCATCAGTGGAGATGCAGCTGTATTTGGGAGGGGTCGCACAATTTAACAGCTGAGCAAAATGATCCAGGTCCTCTCTTGAGTCCTGTGGTTGGACGTTTCTGGGCACTGTAAGTAGCAATGGGCATGTAAAGCAGGGTGGCAACTGAAGCACAGCCAGATTTATGCTGAAAGACTTCAATGTGTGACAGTTCTGGCTTTCTGTGAAGGACACTGAGGGTAAAGCTCGCTTTGTCTAACAGAGTCCCACAGCATCAGTGCCGCTGCCTGTGCTGGTCATGCAGTGCCCTGGTGTAGTCTGCAAGAAGGAGAAATAGGTCATAGAACCATAGAATCACCAAATGTTGTGAGTTGGAAGAGACCCACAAGGATGATGGAGTCCAACTCCTGTCCCTGCACAGGACAAGCCCAACATTCACACCATGTCCCTCAGGGCCTTGGCCAAATGCTGCTGCAATCTTGTCAGGCTTGGTGCCATCAGCACCTCCCTGGGGAGCCTGTTCCAGTGCTCCACCACCCTCTGCCTCAAGAACCTTTTTCTCATGGCCAACCTCACCCTCCCCTTTTGATGAAAAGCACTCGACAGCTACTGAAATGTGGGCACCTTCATGCATTGGTTTGCAAGACATCCTGCCATCTTGTACCACTGCTAACCTAACCTGATGGACCTAACTCCATTTTTATGAAGGAAAGTGAAAAAGCACGTGGTGGGCACTTCTGAAGAGGCACGACCTCTCCAAATAAGACTGTAGTCCAGAGTTGTTAGCTGAATTGTAACTGTGTGTTGAAATGTGACCAGGGTTCATAGTTTCGCACCCATTTTGAAATGAGATGAGCTGCATGCACCTAAACTTTTCCAACAGCAGAATGAAAGGGAATTGATTGGAGAGTTACAACTGCCAAAACTTTGCAGTATCTGCTTTCCTACACTCACCTAGTCCAGCTCCTGAGCGGGCTCTGAGAGCAGCAGTTTCTTGTGCAGGAGCAGAACAACTTTTTTTCTGCTTTATAATTATTTGCAGGTTAATAATTAGTTCATTGGTTTGCCCTGTAAGCAAGACCAGATCCTCCTGAGATGAAGGTGGCAATGTGCTCATGTTACTGTCCCCTCGGACCCTTGCAGTGGTCCCATCCACTGAGAAGGCTGGTCTCTTTCCTCTGCTGAGGAAACTGGTCTCTCATGGCTCCAGCAATGCCTACTTGCCCTGCTAGGAAGGACAGGAGAGAGCACTTTAGCCATGATGAGAATGAGATGTGCATGGTGATATTCTCCATGAGTCGGTGGAAAATTGACAGGAGAATAGCCTCAGAGTACAAGATCCACTTGTAAGGCTGCTTAGCGGTGTGATTTCAGTAGCTCTGTTGGATCTCTTATTCCCCAGTAAAAACAAAAACCAGGAGTTTGCGTTTACCCTTGGCACTGAACATCACTTTTCTTTCAGGTATTAGCAACGCAGAAGCCCGTCAGCCAGGGAAAGCGCCAAACTTCAGCGTGAACTGGACAGTAGGAGACACTGGCCTTGAAGTTATTAATGCTACAACTGGCAAAGATGAAATGGGTCGTGCATCTCGCCTTTGTAAGCATGCCTTTTACAGCCGCTGGATGCGTATTCATGCCAAGGTACGTCCTCCAGAGCGTTAGATTTTCCATTTCTTCTGAATTCCTTAATGAAATGCCTGTGCGTGCTGTTTTCTGTGTTGAGAAGCTGCTTCCTGAGCCTGACGTTAGCTACTACTCCATGTAGTAATGGAAAAGAACAATGCATTTGTTTAGCATAGTCTTTAATTTGATGATGAAAGGTCCAAAATGCATTCAAAGATCTAATAATCCTTGGTTTATAGCTAAGTAGACAAAGGGTACTATCTCCTTTGAGCTTGCCTTCTCATTTTGATTTATTTGGAAGGATAATCCCAGTTTCACGGCAATCAAACCTACTGAGGTTTGGCTCAGTCCTCTCTTAGAAAGAAAAGCTACAAGAAAGTATCTTATCAGTGGCTTTTCAGTGTCTAGATTTCTTCTGCTGAAGGAGGTTGATAATCCAGAGAAAGCCAAAAGCAGGCTTGCTGGGGTGAGACATGTCACGGAATCACAGAATTGCCTGGATTGGAAAAGCCCTTTAAGATCATCGAGTCCAATCATTGATCCAACACTGACAAGTCCCCGTCTAACCCATGTCCCTCAGCACTATGTCTACACCACTCTTCAATCCCTCCAGGGATGGGGACTCCACCACTGTCCTGGGCAACCCCTTCCAATGCCTCAGAACCCTTGCAGCAAAGAAATTCTTCCTCACATCCCATCTCAACTGCCCTGGACACAACTGGAGCCCATTTCCTCTTGTCCTGTCCCTTGGGCCTTGGTTGAACAGACCCACCCCCACCTCTCTCCACCCTCCTCCGAGGGACTTGGACAGAGCCACAAAGTCTCCCCTCAGCCTCCTTTTCTCCAGGGAAGTGCCTCTCCCAAGAGTGGCCCTGCCAGGACGTGGCGTGGTGCTGCGGAAGGACTCGCTTTGCAAGAGGCAAACGGTGCAGTTGGGCGCGGGGAAGCTGGGTGCAGAGCCGTGGTGGCTGGAAGGAGCAGTGCTGTCACTTGTCTGCCTTTGCCTGAACATTTGGCTTAGTAGTTCATTACCTTGTTTTAATAGCAGTTGTAATAACTTGGTCACTCTCAAACTGTTGGGCTTAATAGGTTCTTGTCTCTCTTCTTTTCTCGTCTTTCATCCACGCAGCTTTCCTCCAGCTTGCGCTCAAAGATCCTCAAGCCCAACCTGTACCACGATACCAAGCAAGGAGCCACTGAGTATCAAACTGCCAAAGAGTGTCTGTTTAAAGCATTCCTGAAGGCAGGACTTGGAGCCTGGGTAGAGAAGCCCATAGAACAAGATCAGTTTTCTCTCACAGCCTAATCCACAGACTTCACATCACTTTGGAAAGGGGTTTGTTCTGGAAATTCCTGGTGTCCAGCATTGCTTTCTGGCATCTCCACAGCTGTCAAAACATCTTTTTACTTGTTTGGATTTGGGTTTTTTCCCTTTGCTTTTTGGAAACTTCATAGTAACAGTTTCTGTTTTGCCTAAGTATTGAAACTCCATGATGATCTGACGCATAATTGTATATTTTGTTATGGGAAAGTAATTTCTGGTGTATTTCTAGAAATACTTTTACTGTAGAAAACTTGCAGTAAGGCTGTCCTTACAGTATACAATGACTCGTTTTTTCTGGGTTAAAACAACTTCTTTTTTTTAATTCAATGTCATCAAGTGCATGAAGAAATGAAAGTTTCTCTAGGTTTTACACCACACTTTTAGGAAGTAGCTTAATTTTTTTTAAAAGAAAATAGGTGACAAAGCTGATTCTACTCCTCTGTTAACTTGTTTTTGAACTGCAGATATAGCGTATAGACCACAGAGCCAGAAGGGAGTCTGGACAGCTAGTTTTTCCCCACTTCCTTGCTCTTTGAAACCAGCTGCTGAAAATTTCATGTCTTTGATGTATGTATTTATTAGTCTGTGACCCAGTTTTTAACATGCAGCTTTTTATTCTGTTTTTAAAAATACATTTACCTCCCATTTACACACATTGTGAAGTCTTCATTTTTTTTACCATTGTAAACTGGAAACAGCAAAATAAGTTTAGAGGTTTAGTCTAACGTGCAGAAACCTGTTTAGAAGTAGATGATTTGTATGTCCCAGGAACTCATCAGAATACCATCGTAACTGTAACAGTAATATGACAACTTAAAAAAAAAAAAACAATTGCTCATTTTAAGGGCACTAAGCCTGAATTGCTAAAAACAGTCACTTGCCGGGTATTAATTGCTCTCCTCGTGAAGAAATGAAAAGCTCTTGTATGGACAAAAAGTTGTTAAAACTTCTCTCCTGTGAGTTACAGCTCCTCTCACCCAAGTTGTTGTGTTTCTTAGATTTCATTGCCTTCTGGCTTTACACGTGTGATTGTTTTCATCAAGCTAATTAGGTAAGTTCTCTCAAATGCGCTTTCGTTTGCTTTGATGATAACTTAGAAAGGTGTTTTTCCTAAAGATGTAGACACTTCTGCTTTATGTAAAAATGTAAGATAGAAGGGAAATACTATGAGCTCAGTTTGATTAACTGGTCTATAGAAGGCATTTTTAAAAACACTTTTTAGTACATGATGTTTAGAAGCGATGAGACAATGTCTGGTGTCGCTTCTTTGCTCACACAGTGTGTGTCCAAACACATCCCTTGGCTCATGCC